AAACCCCGAACTCTGCATTCACCCTATCCGCTCTCCCCGGACCCAGCATTCACTATATCTGGTGTCCCCGGACCCTGCATTCACTATATCCGCTCTCCCCGGACCCCGCATTCACTATATCTGGTGTCCCCGGACCCTGCATTCACTATATCTGCTCTCCCCGGACCCTGCATTCACTATATCCGCTCTCCCCGGACCCTGCATTCACTATATCCGGTCTCCCCGGACCCCGCATTCACTATATCCGGTCTCCCCGAACCCTGCATTCACTATATCCGCTCTCCCCGGACCCCGCATTCACTATATCCGCTCTCCCCGGACCCTGCATTCACTATATCCGCTCTCCCCAGACCCCGCATTCACTATATCCGCTCTCCCCGGACCCCGCATTCACTATATCCGCTCTCCCCGGACCCCGCATTCACTATATCCGGTCTGCCCGGACCCCGCATTCACTATATCCGGTCTGCCCGGACCCCGCATTCACTATATCCGGTCTGCCCGGACCCCGCATTCACTATATCCGGTCTGCCCGGACCCCGCATTCACTATATCCGGTCTGCCCGGACCCTGCATTCACTATATCTGGTCTCCCCGGACCCCGCCTTCACTATATCCGGTCTGCCCGGACCCCGCATTCACTATATCCGGTCTCCCCAGACCCTGCATTCACTAGATCCGCTCTCCCCGGACCCTGCATTCACTATATCCGGTCTCCCCGGACCCTGCATTCACTAGATCCGCTCTCCCCGGACCCTGCATTCACTATATCCTCTCTCCCCAGACCCCGCATTCACTATATCTGGTCTCCTTGGACCCAGCATTCACTATATTCTCCTCTCTTCCCCGGACCCTGCATTCACTATAACCGCTCTCCCACAGAACATGGAAATGCAATTATTTTAGTAAATATAAACTGCTAAATACCTTTTCTCATCAGCAGTTAAAGCAGTCTTGTGACTTCTATCAGTGTTCAGCTGAGCACTGGTTAAAGCTTGTAGGAGTTTTCTTTCTGCTCTAGAAGAATGCAGAACCCCTGACCTCTGTCTGGACAGGGCCGATTGGCCCTGTGCTGATCACATGCACTCTCCCAAGAAAAAGAAAAACCTCTCTAGCAATAAACACTAAACTGAGCATGTACAGAATGGCTACGGTACAGTCTGTCTTATCAGGAGATAAGTGGACATTTGAACAAAAGGAGAATCAGAGAAGACAGGATCAAAACGGGCTTTTTACACAATGCAGAGGATTAACCCCTTAGGTTCCACAGTGAGTATAACAAGCATGCTTTACTGCATCTACAGACTGATTGTACTGTGGGGGGTTTAGTAATACTTTAAGTCGCAGGAGTTGATTATCTGGAAGCGGACTGGTTTCTCTGCGGAGAAGCACCAGATTTTGCATGCTTCAGTTTTAGTAAACCCCCACCCGTGTGTTTGGTATGATGGGGCACCAGCAGACAGAGAGTGAAGAGTTGCTGGTATGTCAGAGAAGAATGTAAACTACATTCCAGGCTACTGCAGATAACAGGATCCCAGCACTGCTACAGCCTATCCCTAGAGGGCAGCAAAAAGCAACACTTGTATTCAAATGGGATTGATCACACTGACCTGTAAACAGACTTCACTGAGCTCCGCTGAAATGATTATATAGACTGAAATTGTGTTTTTTTTTATAGACTTGTAATTATAGTGGCTGGATACAAAGAAAAACCAACAGAGGGCCCCCCCGGCCTAGTGCATTATTGCAAAAAAAATGTAATGGAAGGATAAAAAGTAAGTATCATACTCACAATAGGCAAACAGGTCAAAGGCACATCATACTAAACAGCGGTGTCCAGTCCACATAGCATGTAAGTCCAAAAAATGGAACCCAGGACTTCCAACAAGCTAACATGTTTCAAGGTGGCTCTGAGGAAGAGGTTGAGACCCCGAAATGTGTTGCTAGCCTGTTGGAAGTCCAGGGTTCCATTTTTTGGACTTATATGCAGTGTGGACTGGACACCGCAGTTTAGTGTGACCTGTTTGCCTATTGTGAGTACGATACTTACTTTTTATCCTTCCGATAAACTTTTTTTTTTTGATAATGCACTAGGCCGGTGCGCCTCCTCTGTTTTTCTTTGTATCCAGTGACATTGGACTACCCCGGTCTGTTGAGGGCAGCAAGGAGTGCCTTGTCCAGGATATCTGTGATGTTACCATAACCCTAGCCGAGTCCATCCTGAAGCAAAGGAGTACAGAGTTTGCGGAGTATTAACCATTTGCCGCCCGCCCTATGGCCGAATGGCGGGCGGCAAATGTCATCAGCGTTCCGGGTGGATGCCATATGGCGTCCTCCCGTACATGCGCAGATTGCGCTCCTGCAGAGCGGCGCAGCGGCGCGATCTGTCACCGGCCGTGTACCTCGGACACAGCTGAAGACAGATCTGAGTATCGGCCCTTGTTGCAGGTACCATGTGACCTGCTGTGACCAATCACAGCAGGTCACATGACAGTTGTATACAGTGGATGGCTTCATTCATGCCATACATTGTATACTAGTGTCTAGCTGTGAATGGTCACAGCAGGTCACATGCACATCTCATGTGATTAGCTGTGGCCAAATCACAGCTAAGCACAAAAAAAAAACAAAAAAAAAAACCCTGAATGAATCGATGTCATTCAGGTAAATGCTTGCTTATAGCAAAGTAATTCTTTGCTGTAAGCAAATTGTGTAAAAAAAAAAATACTGATCACTTCCCCAAAGTAGTACAATGTCACTATGGTAACATTGTACTACTTTGGTCATAGTGAAATATGAAAAAAAAAATGAAAAAAAAAATATATATATATATATTTTTTTTTTCATACTGTCACCAGTCAGTGTTCCTGATCACCGCCATGCCAGTTATGATGACGCTGTACTGCACTGGTGACAGTATGTAAAAAAAAAAATTGTGAAACTAATTTTTTTAATTTTTTCATTTTCCGAAAAATTATGACAAAAAATACAACTTCAAAAAACTCGCCATGCCTCTTATGAAGTACGTCGGACTGTCTACTCTGCAAAAAGGGGTCATTTGGGAGGATATCTGTACTGTTCTGACATTTGGGGGATATCTGTACTGTTCTGACATTTGGGGGATATCTGTACTGTCCTGACATTTGGGGGATATCTGTACTGTCCTGACATTTGGGGGATATCTGTACTGTCCTGACATTTGGGGGATATCTGTACTGTCCTGACATTTGGGGGATATCTGTACTGTTCTGACATTTGGGGGGATATCTGTACTGTTCTGACATTTGGGGGGATATCTGTACTGTTCTGACATTTGGGGGATATCTGTACTGTTCTGAAATTTGGGGGATATCTGTACTGTCCTGACATTTGGGGGATATCTGTACTGTTCTGACATTTGGGGGATATCTGTACTGTCCTGACATTTGGGGGGATATCTGTACTGTTCTGACATTTGGGGAGATATCTGTACCGTCCTGACATTTGGGGGATATCTGTACTGTCCTGACATTTGGGGAATATCTGTACTGTCCTGACATTTGGGGAGATATCTGTACTGTCCTGACATTTGGGGGATATCTGTACCGTCCTGACATTTGGGGGATATCTGTACTGTCCTGACATTTGGGGGATATCTGTACTGTCCTGACATTTGGGGGATATCTGTACTGTTCTGACATTTGGGGGACATCTGTACTGTCCTGACATTTGGGGATATCTGTACTGTTCTGACATTTGGGGGATATCTGTACTGTCCTGACATTTGGGGGATATCTGTACTGTCCTGACATTTGGGGGATATCTGTACTGTTCTGAAATTTGGGGGATATCTGTACTGTCCTGACATTTGGGGGATATCTGTACTGTCCTGACATTTGGGGGATATCTGTACCGTTCTGACATTTGGGGGATATCTGTACCGTTCTGACATTTGGGGGATATCTGTACCGTTCTGACATTTGGGGGACATCTGTACTGTCCTGACATTTGGGGGATATCTGTACTGTTCTGACATTTGGGGGATATCTGTACTGTCCTGACATTTGGGGGATATCTGTACTGTCCTGACATTTGGGGGATATCTGTACTGTTCTGACATTTGGGGGACATCTGTACTGTCCTGACATTTGGGGATATCTGTACTGTCCTGACATTTGGGGGATATCTGTACTGTCCTGACATTTGGGGGGATATCTGTACTGTTCTGACATTTGGGGAGATATCTGTACCGTCCTGACATTTGGGGGATATCTGTACTGTCCTGACATTTGGGGAATATCTGTACTGTCCTGACATTTGGGGAATATCTGTACTGTCCTGACATTTGGGGAGATATCTGTACTGTCCTGACATTTGGGGGATATCTGTACCGTCCTGACATTTGGGGGATATCTGTACCGTCCTGACATTTGGGGGATATCTGTACTGTCCTGACATTTGGGGGATATCTGTCCTGTTCTGACATTTGAGGGATATCTGTACTGTTCTGACATTCTTGGACCTCAAGAAATTAGATTGGCCGTCAGTACTTCAGGATTGATCAATATTCAGATCTATACCATAGTTTGTGAACTCTATAACTTTCCTACAAACTAAATAATACATCCTAATTTGGGTTATTTTCACCAAAGACATGTAGCAGAATACATCTCGGCCTAAATTTATGAAGAACAATTATTTATTTGCAAACTTTTATAACAGAAATAAAGACAAACTTGTTTTTTTCAAAATTATTGGTCTTCTTTTGTTAATTTAGCAAAAAATAAAAACCCCAGCGGTGATTAAATACCACCAAAAGAAAGCTCTAGTTGTGTGAAGAAAATGATAAAATTTTAGTTTGGGTACAATGTTGTATGACCGCGCAATTGTCATTCAAAGTGTGAGAGCGCTGAGACCTGAAAACTGGCCTGGGCAGGAAGGGGTAAAAGTGCCCGGTATGGAAATGGTTAATTATAGCGGCTACATGTGACACTCCATCATGACACTGTATGATTTCTAACCTGGTGGCAAGCTGCCCAGAGCCCATTTCCAGAGGGTGGGAGATACTCTGACTTAGTGGAGGCCTCGGAATAGTGCTGGAGAGAGCAGGTCGCGCCTCCTGACTGGTATTCCTAGAAAAAAGGACAAAGACATGTGAGGGATTTTCAGCAATCTGTCCGTCATAAACGGCTGCAATGTAAGATATATTGTGAAACATTGTTTCTTTTAACTCAGGGAAATAAACCAAAAGGAAACATTGTTTCTTTTATCTTGGGGAAATAAACCAAAAGGAAACATTGTTTCTTTTATCTTGGGGAAATAAACCAAAAGGAAACATTGTTTCTTTTAACTCAGGGAAATAAACCAAAAGGAAACATTGTTTCTTTTAACTCAGGGAAATAAACCAAAAGGAAACTTTCTTGTAGCTGGAGGGGGAAAGTGACAGCCGATTCTCTGAGCTATAGTGAAGGGAAAAAAAAAGCCAGTAATTACATTTAAAAACCAGCACTGACCTATAGTGACAGCATTCCTACGTGAAACCGCGTTTTGGTTTATGAATTTTTCACAATACGAAACGTCCCGGAGAACGCATTAAATTTGTAAACCGAGGTACGCCTGTACAAGTATACACTCACTGGCCACTTTACTAGGGCCACTTGTTCCATTGCTTGGTAACACAAATTGCTAATCAGCCAATCACATGGCAGCAACTCAATGCATTTAAGACATCTAGATGTGGTGAAGGCGGCTTTCTAAAGTTCAAACTGAGCATCCAAATGGGAAAGAAGGGATTTTAAGTAACTTTGAACGTGGCATGATTTTTGGTGCCAGATGGGCTGGTCTGAGTATTTCAAAAACTGCTGATCTGGGATTTTCATGCACAACCATCTCTAGAGTTTACAGGGAATGGTCCGAAAAAGAGAAAATCTCCAGTGAGCGGCAGTTGTGGAAAATGCCTTGTTGATGTCAGAGGTCAGAGGAGAATGAGCAGACTGGTTCAAGATGATAGAAAGGCAACAGTAACTCATCAATATGGACCAAAATCTCTGAGGAATGTTTCCAACACCTTGTAGAATCTATGCCACGAAGAATGAAGGCAGTTCTGAAGGAAAAAGGGGGCCCAACCCGGTACTAGCAAGGTGGTCCTAAAAAAGTGGCCGGTGAAGGTATCTATATCTATTCATCCTCAAACCACTGCCAGAGGTAATGGGCATAATGGAGCAGAGCTTTCAACCTTCACAACTGAAATAAGATGGCTCCTTTCCTCCTCCTCCTGCAAAACGATCACCTGAACAGAGTGACAGGTATTCCTCCTATATGTCCTATACATGATGCAGTACACTATTAGGATTCTGACAGTAAATCTACGTACTTCACGTTGGTGTTTGTGCAGATGATATATTCTATTTCATCGGAATACGGGTTCTGAAAGGTGAATGAGCTGGTTCTCATCAGCAGCCAATCACGGTTTTTGGACCGGAACCGAAACATGACAGACAACACCTGGCCTTTTAATTTCACCACCTTGAAAGAGAGAGAGAATTAGGAGCCGAGCACATCTTACAGAACAATACAAAGCAAAGAAACAATCAGAGAACTAATAATTCCACCCCAGCACAGCAACTGTGTTACAATTTGATAGCCGACTCAAATTACTTAAAAGTGATATTAAAACATTCATTTTTTTTTTTACAATTTATGAGGCTTCATAATGTATTAAAGTTGTTCTTTCCTTCTTATCCAACTGGTTCTTGGCAGTGCTAGCCCTGGTTTTCTTTGCAGAATCCTTTGGGGCCACTCTTGGTGGCAAGCTCCAGATGGGACTAGAGCCGAATGTTTCTATACAGTGCGCGTTACCACAAACGCACAAGCAAGCCAATCCCCTTCAAAAGTTATAGGCAGCTGACAAGCAGATCGCATCCCCTCTGCTGACACACGCACAGCTATACAGGCAAGCAGCTCTGCTTGTGTAGCTGTACACAGTTGTTTCCCATCAGCCCCTCCTGTCCATCCCAGCAACAATAGACCCATTGCAGCAATGGATTCCCCAGCAGTACAGTCCTTCCTCAAAAGCAGATCCCTTCCAGCAACAATTGACACTGCCCCCCCAAGCAACATAAGACCCCCCTAGCAACAATAGGTCCCCTACCAGCAACAATAGACCCATTGCAACAATGGATTCCCCAGCAGCATAGACTCCTTCCTAAAAAGTAGATCCTTTCCAACAATTGACACTGCCCCTCCAAGCAACATAAGACCCTCCAGCTACAATAGGTCCCCTACCAGCAACAACAGACCCATTGCAACAATGGATTCCCCAGCAGCATAGACTTCTTCCTAAAAAGTAGATCCTTTCCAACAACAATTGACATGCCCCCCCAAGCAACATAAGAACCCCCCCCAGCAACAATAAGTCCCCTACCAGCAACAATACACCCATTGCAACAATGGATTCCCCAGCAGCACTAGACTCCTTCCTCAAAAGTAGGTCCCTTCCAGCAACAACTGACACCGCCCACCCCAAGAAACATAAGACCCCCTAGCAACAGGTACCCTACCAGCAACAACAGACCCATTACAACAATGGATTCCCCAGCAGTCAGCAGCAATAGACTCTTTCCTCTAAAGTAGATTCCTTCCAGCAACAATTGACACCACCCCCCCCCCAAGCAACATAAGACCCCCCAGAAAAAATATGTCCCCTACCAAAAACAAGAGACCCATTGCAGCAATGGATTCCCCAGCAGCCAGCAACAATAGACTCTTTCCTCAAAAGTAGATCCCTTCCAGCAACAATTGACACTGGCCCCCCCTCCCGAACAACATAATACCTGCCCAGCAACAATAGGTCCCCTACCAGCAACAACAGACCCATTGCAACAATGGATTCCCCAACAGCACTAGACTCCTTCCTCAAGAGTAGATCCCTTCCAGCAACAACTGACACCCCCCCCAAGCAACATAAAACCCCCAAGCTACAATAAGTCCCCTACCAGCAACAATAGTCCCATTGCAACAATGGATTCCCCAGCAGCCAGCAACAATAGACTCCTTCCTCAAAAGTAGATTCCTTCCAGCAACAATTGACGCCGCCCCCGCCCCCCCTCCCAAGAAACATAAGACCCCCCAGCAACAATAGGTCCCCTACCAAAAACAATAGACCCATTGCAACAATGGATTCCTCAGTAGCCAGCAGCAATAGACTCCTTCCTCAAAAGTAGATCCCTTCCAGCAACAACAGACCCACTGCAACAACTGATTCCCCAGCAGCCATAGACTCTCCAGCACACCCTAGCACCCCTTGTTTTTACATACCTTCAGTGCTGGAGGTGCTGTAACTGTGTTCCCTCACATTCCCACTGGAAAAAAGCCGTGACCAAAAGACAATGTCACGTCACCCATTCAGGCATAAATGACAAGAGTCTTTGTTATGCGGCTCCCTGACCCGCTGATACTTGCCTCTCTAGCACTCTCCTACAGTGCCTTTTACTGGCACAGTCACTGCAAAATACTTGGTTTTGCCAGGTATAGTGTACTGTTTGACCACCTATTATGGTGCCTAGCGGTCCCATGGTGGAGGGGGTGATGCCACAACTCCCTCTAGGCTCCGATACCATATTCAACAGTGTGCTTTCTGGATGCTTCTAAGGTTTCCTTTTTGGTTTTGACTGGAGTATTTAATATCCTGCATACAGATCATAAACATTTCTAAGTATGCAACACCAAGTGTAAAGGTCCACATTCACATATTACCTGCTGAAAACTGTCTCTGAGAAGCTGCTGGTCTTCTGGGTGGGCAAACTCCACTATGTCCTTCCCCAGGAGTTCCTAAATTGAGAACGAGAATGAGAATTGAGAATGTGAACATTTACTGTGAACTCCTGCTAGTGGCTGCAAACTGCAACAGCACAGGGAATAGAATATAGTGGGAATGGGGACTGGGGTGGGGTGGAAATCTCCCACTGGAGACATCCGCTTCATTTACAGCTGTCTATGAGAGGATTTTCCTTTTATGTAGGATTTTGCTCAGTTCCAGTTGCTTCTCCAGGACAGGGTATGAAAGAAAATTTCCTCGGTGGGATAAAGGACAAGAAAGAACCTGGCAGAGGTTTTAACCCTTTCCTACTCTATCCTAGACAATAAAAAAAGACTACCCAAGACACCCAACCATACCAGACCACATGCCCTCAATGGGATGGTGGGGGGAAGAGAAGAGGCCCAACATGGTAAGAAGCTGCCTAACAAACCCCAAAGCATCCCCTCATGTTGACAAGGGTTCCCTCATGTTCCAAATTGGAAGAGCGGGGATTTCAAATCCTTGGACCGCTGCAGCAGCTGGACCAAATGGATTCTGATTGGTCAGTGCTGTCACATACATCCTGAAAGAGTAGGGATATCAAATCCTTGGACCGCTGCAGCAGCTGGACCAAATGGATTCTGATTGGTCAGTGCTGTCACATACATCCTGGAAGAGTAGGGATAGCAAGTCCTTGGACCGCTGCAGCAGCTGGACCAAAGGGATTCTGATTGGTCAGTGCTGTCACATACATCCTGGAAGAGTAGGGATATCAAATCCTTGGACCGCTGCAGCAGCTGGACCAAATGAATTCTTTTTGGTCAGTGTTGTCATATACATCCTGGAGGAGTCAGGATTTCAAATCCTTGGACCGCTGCAGCAGCTGGACCAAATGAATTCTGATTGGTCAGTGCTGTCACATACATCCTGGAGGAGTCGGGATTTCAAATCCTTGGACCGCTGCAGCAGCTGGACCAAATGAATTCTGATTGGTCAGCGCTGTCATATACATCCTGGAGGAGTCGGGATTTCAAATCCTTGGACCGCTGCAGCAGCTGGACCAAATGAATTCTGATTGGTCAGTGCTGTCATATACATCCTGGAGGAGTCGGGATTTCAAATCCTTGGACCGCTGCAGCAGCTGCAGGCATGCTGACAGCTTGGCAATGCTGGAAGTAAGTACAGTAGAGACCGGCAGTGGTGGGGGTAGGTGGGGGTGGGTAAGGGTATCTAGAGTTAGTCCATCTTTACATTTTTCTTTCTGTAAAGGTGAACGAACCCTTCAATATGACCACAGTTGCTGCACAAGGAGCTCATTTACATGTCTGCTTTAAAAAACAACCCAAAAAACAAAAAACACACAAGCATTTTGTTTATTGCATTTTGGTGATATTTCTCTGCACTTTATCACATTTTTACTGCTAAAAATTTCAAGATCAACTTAAAATGACAGACTACTATGCCCCAATAAAGGAAAAAAACTTTACAAAAGGGTGCCAAAATCGTAACAATGTGGTTAAAAAAAAAAAAAAAAGTAAAAATCTTACCTCGGATCCTGGCTTCTACCAACTCGAGGCACTAGGGAGGTCCTTTGTCTAACATGAAAGCAGGGTAATTGAGATTTTGCAATAATGCGCTCCAGCACAATGCAAGAGTGCATTATCATGGGATTTCAAGCCCCCAGACTAAAAAAGACTGGTGCACAATACCAGTGTAAGGCAGGCCATAGATGGAGTACATTTTTTTTTTCTTGCAACCACGAGCTGGACAGTGATTACTGATGAAGTCACGAGGTTGGCGTGGCGCAACACGTCGGTACGTGGGGAGGAGCTTCCGGTGATGTCATTTCCGGCGTGGGGGCCATATTGGATCACCCTGTTGAGTACACCCCATAGCATGTGGTAAAAAGCTGGAAAACTCGTGGGTAAATGTGAGTGTAATACTTATTGTCGTTTTAAATTTGATGCAATAAAAACCGGTTGCACTATGGAGGGTCTCTGTTTGTGTCTTATCATGATCCTGTGAGGAGCCGGCTGTTAGTCTGTTGGAGGCTGGAGACGTGAGGGGAAAGCCTGAGAGGGACCCATTCTGATAGGATCACTTGATCCTCAAAGCGTGTTGCCCCTGTGGGGTCTAATGAAGGAGGTGAGGGGGTATTTTGGCTGGTAAAGGATTGGCACGTGTGTACCACGTATACGGCACATTATATATTCTTGCATGAAGAGTGAAGTGTGAGGATCACCACAAATTATCGTATTACTATTATTATATCATTTTGGACTTTTTGAATTGATTATTTGTTCACCAATTTTGTGCACCAGTATACATATTGTTTCACAATGTGCAAATAGGAGTGTGTTTGTCACTTTTTTCACAAAATATTCCCCGTGAGGGAATTCACGTATGACACAATTAGTTTAATTTTTAATGTATTGATTTATCACCTTGGATATATATATGTAGGGGATGTATATAGAGTTTGTGCATTTTAACACGTAATTGTTAGTATTATTAGAGCTACACTATTTATTTTAATTGGCTATAATAGCTGCTTGCACCAATCAATTCAAACCATCTATGGCTGGCTTAACCACTTGTTGACCGTGCTATAGCCGAATGATGGCCACAGCGCGGTCATCAAGTTCAGGGAGGGCGTCATATGACGTCCTCCCAGAATCGTGCCCCCCCCCCCCCTGCAGCGCACACCCCCAGCGTTCTCTGTGATTCCTGCGTCCTTCGGACACACCTGATCACATGACACAGTAAAGGGCCAATCACAGCGGCCTTTTACCACATCATCAGCTGTGTCCAGTCACAGCTGATCACCATGTGATCAGTGCCCTGCTTATCAGTGTAGATGTCTCCTTTCACACTTGCCTGTTATATGCAGTATTTTCTTCATGCTGTCACAGTATGAGGAAAATACTGCCAATAACTGTCAAGGGTGAAAGGAGACATCTACACTGATAAGCAGGGCACCGATTAGTGTCATGATTAATAGTGCAGCTCAAAACGTGCCCATCATTGCCAAGCAGTGCTGCCAATCTGTGCCGCCAGTTAGTGCAGCCTGTCAGTGCTCTTCAAAGCTGCCTATTAGTGCCCATCAGTGCAACTTCATCAGCAACTCCTCATCAATGCCCACCAGTGACGCCTTTCAGCATCCATCAGTGCAGCCTCATCAATGCCCACCAGTGATGCCTCATCAGTGCCGCCTTTCAGCATCCATCAGTGCAGCCTCATCAATGCCCACCAGTGATGCCTCATCAGTGCCGCCTTTCAGCATCCATCAGTGCACCCTCATCAATGCCCACCAGTGATACCTCATCAGTGATGCCTCATCAGTGCCGCCTTTCAGCGCCCATCAGTGCAGCATCATCAACGCACATTAGTGAAGGAGAAAAATGACCTGTTTGCAAAATTTTATAATAGGAACTAAGAAAACATTTTTTTTTCAAAACTTTTGGTATTTTTTTTGCTTGTTTAGTGAGAAATAAAACACCCAATGATAAACAACACCAAAAGAAAGCTCTATTTGTGAGAAAAAAATGCTAAAAATGTCAAATGCGTACAATGTTGCATGACCGCGCAATTGTCATTCAAAGTGCGACAGCGCTGAAAGCTGACAATTGGCCTGGGCAGGTAGTAGGCATGTGATTAAGACCTATCTGAAACAACAACCTCAGCACTAATTGACTCATACATCTACTCACCTGTGGTTGGTAGCCCACGGTGGCAGCACACCGATGGTCAACAAATGTGAACATGCCATTGACGTTGTGTCGGGAGATGAACTCTACTGGCTGGCATACACTATTCATATCTGTACAGTTAGGAGAACTTGTCACCTGTATTAAAAAAAAAAAAAACACTTATTGCTGCAATCAAAAGACGCAAAATGCTTTGTAAACAGCGAGACTATTGTCCTACTATGTATGGTGCTTGGAAGACGGAGTTTGACCATTATGATACAATGATTCTTATAGACAATAATATGGGTTTTTATGAACCTCACAATTAAACCTACTGCACTTGTGAAACTTTGAAGTGATCTGTTTTTTTAAATGCTTCCTGCCGCCGCTGCCACCTCACGACCCTTTAAGACAGTGGTTCTCAACCTTTCTAGCGTCGCGACCCCTTAATACAGTTCCTCATGCTGTGGTGACCCCCAACCATAAAATTATTTTCGTTGCTACTTCATAACTGTAATTTTGCAGTAGGAGGAATAGTGCCACATCATTGGTATCAGTGGGAGGAATAGTGCCCCGTCATTGGTATCAGTGGGAGGAATAGTGCCCCGTCATTGGTGTCAGTGGGAGGAATAGTGCCCCCTTCATTGGTGTCAGTGGGAGGAATAGTGCCCCATCATTGGTATCAGTGGGAGGAATAGTGCCCCGTCATTGGTGTCAGTGGGAGGAATAGTGCCCCCTTCATTGGTGTCAGTGGGAGGAATAGTGCCCCATCATTGGTATCAGTGGGAGGAATAGCGCCCCATCATTGGTGTCAGTGGGAGGAATAGTGCCCCGTCATTGGTGTCAGTGGGAGGAATAGTGCTCCATCATCGGTGTCAGTGGGAGGAATAGTGCCCCGTCATTGGTGTCAGTGGGAGGAATAGTGCTCCATCATCGGTGTCAGTGGGAGGAATAGTGCCCCATCATCGGTGTCAGTGGGAGGAATAGTGCCTCATCAACGGTATCAGTGGGAGGAATAGTGTCCCATCATCGGTATCAGTGGGAGGAGGAATAGTGCCCCATCATAGGTGTCAGTGGGAGGAGGAATAGTGCCCCATCATAGGTGTCAGTGGGAGGAGGAATAGTGCGACATCATTGGTGTCAGTGGGGGGAGGAATAGTGCCCCATCATTGGTGTCAGTGGGAGGAATAGTGCCTCATCATTGGTATCAGTGGGAGGAATAGTGCCCCATCATTGGTATCAGTGGGAGGAATAGTGCCCCATTATTGGTATCAGTGGGAGGAATAGTGCCCCATCATTGGTGTCAGTGGGAGGAATAGTGCCCCGTCATTGGTATCAGTGGGAGGAGGAATAGTGCCCCGTCATTGGTATCAGTGGGAGGAATAGTGCCCCGTCATTGGTATCAGTGGGAGGAATAGTGCCCCGCCCCGTCATTGGTGTCAGTGGGAGGATAGTGCCCCATCATTGGTATCAGTGGGAGGAATAGTGCCCCGTCATTGGTATCAGTGGGAGGAATAGTGCCCCGTCATCGGTGTCAGTGGGAGGAATAGTGCCCCGTCATCGGTATCAGTGGGAGGAATAGTGCCCCATCATCGGTGTCAGTGGGAGGAATAGTGCCCCATCATCGGTATCAGTGGGAGGAATAGTGCCCCTTCATCGGTATCAGTGGGAGGAATAGTGCCCCATCATCGGTGTCAGTGGGAGGAATAGTGCCCCATCATCGGTGTCAGTGGGAGGAATAGTGCCTCATCATTGGTATCAGTGGGAGGAATAGTGCCCCATCATTGGTATCAGTGGGAGGAATAGTGCCCCATCATTGGTATCAGTGGGAGGAATAGTGCCCCATCATTGGTGTCAGTGGGAGGAGGAATAGTGCCCCATCATTGGTGTCAGTGGGGGGAGGAATAGTGCCCCATCATAGGTGTCAGTGGGGGGAATAGTGCCCCATCATTGGTGTCAGTGGGGGGAATAGTGCCCCATCATTGGTGTCAGTGGGGGGAGGAATAGTGCCCCATCCTTGGTGTCAGTGGGGGGAGGAATAGTGCCCCATCCTTGGTGTCAGTGGGGGGAGGAATAGTGCCCCATCCTTGGTGTCAGTGGGGGGAGGAATAGTGCCCCATCCTTGGTGTCAGTGGGGGGAGGAATAGTGCCCCATCCTTGGTGTCAGTGGGGGGAGGAATAGTGCCCCATCCTTGGTGTCAGTGGGGGGAGGAATCGTGCCCCATCCTTGGTGTCAGTGGGGGGAGGAATCGTGCCCCATCCTTGGTGTCAGTGGGGGAGGAATAGTGCCCCATCGTTGGTGTCATTTGGGGGAGGAATAGTGCCCCATCGTTGGTGTCAGTGGGAGGAATAGTGCCCCATCGTTGGTGTCAGTGGGAGGAATAGTGTCCCATCGTTGGTGTCAGTGGGAGGAATAGTGCCCCATCATTGGTATTAGTGACACCAATGATGGGGCACTATTCCCACTGACACCAATGATACTTACCTTGCAGACCCCTGCTCCAGCCTGGGCTCGCTCGCTCCCTCCCTCTCCCCATGGTACCGACACTTACCTGTCAGATGTCTTCCTTCTCCGGCCGCTCTCCTCCTCTTCACTCGCTCGATCTTCGTGGTGCCGCTCGGCTCCTCCTCTCCAAGCTCCACCTCCTTGCCGGTGATTGGCCGCCTGTGTGCCTCTCCTGAGCTACAGTGCCGGCGGCCAATCACAGGCGAGGATTGATCTCGAGGTGTGTCCAGATGACAGGGGCGGCATGTCATCCCGCCCACACCTGGAGACGGCGGTGGCGGCGACGGCGGCGAGGAGCGGTGTCTCGGTTCCTAAGACCATCGGAAATATGTGTTTTCCGATGGTCTTAGGCGACCCCTGTGGAAGCGTCGTTCGACCCCCAAAGGGGTCGCGACCCCCAGGTTGAGAACCGCTGCTTTAAGAGGTTCTAAATGTGGGGAGGTGGAGGTGGGCATTCCGATCATGTGACCGCTGTGACTAGCAGTCACATGATTAGTGCCTATTGGACTACCCTTACCCCTGCCCATTTGGAACTCATCAAACATACATGGACTGCCACACCGAGCGCCTGTTATCCCTTTTGTACATGATTAGAAACCTCCTGATTGCAAATATGCATCAGGAACTTTCCGGTACCGTTTGTTACTGTGCTAGGAGCACGCTCTCTGCAAAGTGTTTACCTAGGGACGCATATAGGCGGACGCTCGGCGTTGAAAGCTTACCCCCCCCCCCCCCCTCCCGAGAGGCCGCATATATGTGCCAGGTTGGCAGGAAGTGGCTAAATTGAAACATACTCACCATTACCAGTGGTCGTCGAAAACTAGAGGCCCAGATCAACTTTAGCAGCTTAAGTACGCTTCAGTTAGTGTGACAACTTTATGACTAACCTGCCTTCCTTAAAAAATGTAAATAGTATTTTAACCTGATTATGTCAATATTTTTGAATGTCAAAGCGGTACATTGTTTTGCATGGAAATGTGTTGTTTTATATTGTAGGCCTGCAATTCTTAGGAATAACTCAAAATCTGTCCAAAATCCTAAATCTGTGCAAACAAAAGTCTAGTAAACATCCCGGGTATGATAAAGTTTGAAACACAAAATAATAATATAATAAATAATTATAAAAAATAATAATAAATGTAATTCAATAATTTAGGTGAAATGGTTTGATACCGTAATGGAATCCTAACAGATTACAATGTATTGTGTGTATGTCAGGTTTACTTTTTGAATGTCCCGCCAGTTCCGCCCCCTCTGCGTCACGGCGCTCACAGGGAAGGGAACCGGGAAAACGGGAGAACATCGTGTGGAGGACACAGCGGGAGGACATCGTGTGGAGGACACAGCGGGAGGACATCGGCCCGAGGACACAGCGGGAGGACATCGGCCCGAGGACACAGCGGGAGGACATCGGCCCGAGGACACAGCGGGGGGACATCGGCCAGAGGACACAGCGGGGGGACATCGGCCAGAGGACACAGCGGGGGGACATCGGCCAGAGGACACAGCGGTCGGAGGACATCGGCCCGAGGACACAGCGGGAGGACATCGGCCCGAGGACACAGCGGGAGGACATCGGCCCGAGGACACAGCGGGAGGACATCGGCCCGAGGACACAGCGGGGGGACATCGGCCCGAGGACACAGCGGGGGGACATCGGCCAGAGGACACAGCGGGGGGACATCGGCCAGAGGACACAGCGGGGGGACATCGGCCAGAGGACACAGCGGGAGGACATCGGCCCGAGGACACAGCGGGAGGACATGGGCCCGAGGACACAGCGGGAGGACATCGGCCCGAGGACACAGCGGGAGGACATCGGCCCGAGGACACAGCGGGAGGACATCGGCCAGAGGACACAGCGGGAGGACATCGGCCAGAGGACACAGCGGGAGGACATCGGGGAATTGCAGGACAAGGACTACAGCGTAATCCCGAGTGTGGATCGGGGGTTAGTGATTTTAGTACTGTAAATTAACCCCGAGCCACACTCAGGATTACCACTAGTAAGGTTAAGGATGTATAGGACTTTAAATGGGAACTCTACTTACAGTATGTAAACTGCACACTCATTTTTTTCATCATGAGCTGCAAAAACAACTTACCTGCAATCTGCCAATAGCCACCAGGCAGAACTTGCTCTGTCCAGTTTCCTGGTCATCATCTGGTAAGGAAACACCTACACACAGAAGAACAGAATTTAATCCAGCTCTCCGTATCAAAGAGTAACATGAGCGAATGTTATTGAGTTAGGTTTTGTAGGCCGAACATTATGTTGAATGTATGAAGCCAATACTTACTCAAGCTCCTACTATAATTTGTTTTACCTTTTGTCAATAAATGCCTTGGTAGCTCCCTTCAACCTCCGACATTTCCAGGAGTGTCAGAGCCTGATGCCACCAAAGCGTTTGGCCAGTGTTCGGAAAACCTTGTGCGCATAAAGCAGGGGGAAAAAAAAAAAAAAAAAAACTACCAAAGCGCAATCACTCCTACAACTTTATATACCGCTGCACACACTCATGGGTTCCCACAAGTAAAAGAAAATAAATGTGTGTAAAAATAAATAAATACAGTGCCACGCAGTACTGTGTAAAAAAAAAAATAAAAATAAAATCACTATATGATTCATATATCTGCGTGTACTAATTAATTTATCCGTGTGTACTGCTCTAAATGCAAAAGAACCAAATGAATCCCTGGAAACAAAGTTGTATTAAAGTATCAAGCCTCTGATGCAATAAAAAAAATGTAAATGTATCCATATGTATCAACCTATTTATCCGTGTGTACCAACTTGAACACAGAATATTCTTGTGCTACGTTCACACATTTGAAGGATATATCCAGCCTGCAAACAGTAATCTGGTGACAGGGTCACATTATTGTCCATACTTGAAAAAGAAGTATAGTCAAAGCTTTGTGGTTACACTTTTCCTATGGATCACAGAAATGGAGTTAGTTCTGCACTCCTGTGACCTGTTTTCAGCTGACAATGGGCTGAAGCCTGCTGTCAGCTGATGTCCCAGAGCCGGTCCAGGCTCTGAAAAGATCCCGGACATATTGTCAGGATCTACCTAGAAGCTTGGATTGGCGGTTGGCTAAGCCTCTCAGCGAGCTGCAGAGAGCCTGAGCCGGCCGCTCCTGCCCCCTCCACAGCCTGGCACTCCAGTGAGCACTGGAGGGGCAGAGAGCCAGTCAGTCGCAGCTCTCTTCTCAGAGTAGAGGGGAGAACTGAGCGATCAGCTGTGTTTGATCGTTCATTTCTCAGTGCAGAGCTGGCGGGAGAGATGCAGCATCGAATTGATGCTGCATCCACCTAGGCGAGTATAGATTTTTTTTTTTTTTTTTTTTACAGAAAGCCATACTTTTCTTTTAAGGCTGAACAGGATTGCCTCTTGTACATAGAATATTTTCCTGGTCCTGGTTCTGAAAAGATCCCGAACATATTGTCGGGATCTACCTAGAAGCCTGCATTGGCACCTGGTTCAGCCTCTCAGCGAGCTGCAGAGAGCCTGAGCCATCCGCTCCTGCCCCCTCCACAGTCTGGCACTCCAGTAAGCGCAGTTGCAGCTCTCTGCTCGAAGTAGAGGGGAGAACTGAGCGATCAGCTGTGTTTGAGCTGGTGGAGAGATACAGCATCGTATTGATGCTGCATCCACCTAGGCGAGTATAGATTTTCTTTTTTTTTTTTTTTTAACAGAAAGCCATACTTTTCTTTTAAGGCTGAACAGGATCGCCTCTTTTACATAGAATATTTTCCTGGTCCTGGTTCTGAAAAGATCCCGAACATATTGTCGGGATCTACCTAGAAGCCTGGACTGGCACCTGGCTCAGCTTCTCAGCGAGCTGCAGAGAGCCTGAGCCAGCCGCTCCTGCCCCCCTCCACAGCCTGGCGCTCCAGTAAGCGCTGGAGGGGCAGAGCAGAGAGCCAGAGATTGTTAGTCGTGGCTCTCTGCTCAGAGTAGAGGGGAGAACTGAGCAATCAGCTGTTTGATCGCTCATTTCTCAGTGCAGAGCTGGCGGGAGAGATGCAGCATCGAATTGATGCTGCATCCACCTAGGCGAGTATAGATTTATTTTTTTTTTAACAGAAAGCCATACTTTTCTTTTAAGGCTGAACAGGATTGCCTCTTTTACATAGAATATTTTCCTGGTCCTGGTTCTGAAAAGATCTCGAACATATTGTCGGGATCTACCTAGAAGCCTGGATTGGCACCTGGCTCAGCCTATCAGCGAGCTGCAGAGAGCCTGAGCCAGCCGCTCCTGCCCCCTCCACAGCCTGAGCTGGAGGGGCAGAGCAGAAAGCCAGAGATTGTCAGTCGCGGCTCTGTGCTCAGAGTAGAGGGGAGAATTGAGCGATCAGCTGTTTGATCGCTCATTTCTGAGTGCAGAGCTGGCGGATTGATGTTACATCCACCTAGGAAAGTATAGATTTTTTTTTTTATTATTATACAGAAAGCCATACTTTTCTTTTACGGGTGAACAGGATTGCCTCATTTACATAGAATATTTTCCTGGTCCTAATCTGGTTTGGAATAGTCTGGTAAAGTATAAGTAAATTTTAAGAGATTAATTTATTTCTATCATTGATTAGGGGAAAAAATTGCTTGATAACTGTAAAGGGCCTCTTTGCCTCTGCCACCTACAGACACAAGCCTATTGGGGCTAATGGTAAATCTGGCCCTGCCCAAGAGTTCAATGGTTCTAAATGGTGAACCTCCCACAAAATGTCTGTAACCTCTGGCTGGAGATGCAACTATTTAAATAGGTATAGTGGGAAAATTAATGTAGATTTCAGAAACCCAGAATTCCAAGCAATTCGGCAGCAAGTTCTTTTAGGCCTCGTTCAAATGGGGCTTACTAAAACATATTCCCATTGAGGGCCGTGTTTACCCGCACGGGATGTACAGGTGTTCTGTGCATCCCCAAACAGGCAGTCTGATTGATGTCAGTTGATCTGACATCTGTTGGGGTGCATGGTACCAGACGCACACTGTCTGCGTTTGAGGCCATGCACCCGCACGGATGTCAGATTAGGAGCAGCGTCTGAGTCCGCACAGCTACTGCGTCCCAATTGACATCAATAGGGCTGCCTGCAAGGGGATGCATGGAACACCTGCGGGAAAACACGTATGCTGACGTCCTCATGCACACTTGACGTGTTTACAGCGGCTGTTTTTGGCTTTTGACGTTTTTTTCTACAGCCAGTAAACCCCCCAGCATGTTATCCTATGTGTCCATACACACATAGACGGTAATTAATGTTTTTTAGCAGGGGAGTTTTTTGGCTGGAAAAAAAAAACAAGACTAATGGGTTTCGAGAGGAGTTTTTTAGCTGGAAAAAAAAAACGCTCTAACACGGTAAAATGATGCAAACGAGCGTTTTTGGACTTTTTTGGACCAAAAAAAGGTCCAGAAATAGGATAACCCCCCAGCATGTTATCCTAGGTGTCCATGCACACAGACTGTAATCCAAGTTTTTTTTGGAAGGAACATTTTTTGGCTGGAAAAAACCCAGGACTAGTCAGTTTCTAGAGGAGTTTTTTAGCTGTAAAAACGCTCTAACGCTGAAAAACTCTGCAAATCGGCGTTTTTGGACATTATTTTGACCCAAAAAACATCCAAACACAGGACAGAGGATAACCCCCCAGCATGTTATCCTATGTGTCCATGCACACAGACTGTAATCCAAGTTTTTTTGGAAGGAACGTTTTTTGGCTGGAAAAACAAACCCAGGACTAGTGGGTTTCTAGAGGAGTTTTTTAGCTGCAAAAGCGCTCTAACGTTGAAAAACACTGCAAATCGGCGTTTTTGGACGTTATTTTGACCCAAAAAAACGTCCAAACATAGGACAGAAGATAACCTACCAGCATGTTATCCTATGTGTCCATACACACACAGACTGTAATCCACGTTTTTTGGCAGGACAAAAAATCCAGGACTCAGTGTACTGAGTTTTTTTAGCTGTAAAAACGCTCTAACTCTTAAAAATGGGGCAAAATGCGGTAAAACGCTGCATTTTTGGACCTTTTTCTGGCAAAAAAAAAATTTTGGGGGGTAAAAAAAACCTGCTAAAAACCGCAAATGCGGAAAAAAATGCTGCAAATCGGCGTTTTTGGACGTTATTTTGACCCAAAAAACATCCATAGGACAGAGGATAACCCCCCAGCATGTTATCCTATGTGTCCATACACACACAGACTGTAATCAACGTTTTTTGGCTGGACAAAAAACCCAGGACTCAGTGTACTGAGTTTTTTTAGCTGTAAAAACGCTCTAACTCTTAAAAATGGGGCAAAATGCAGTAAAACGCTGCATTTTTGGACCTTTTTTTGGCAAAAAAAAATTTGCTAAAAACTGCAAATGCGGAAAAAATGCTGCAAATCTGCGTTTTTGGACGTTATTTTGACCCAAAAAAACGTCCAAACATAGGACAGAGGATAACCCCCCAGCATGTTATCCTATGTGTCCATGCACACAGACTGTAATCCAATGACGTCCTCATGCACACTTGACGTGTTTACAGCGGCTGTTTTTGGCTTTTGACGTTTTTTTTTCTACAGCCAGTAAACCCCCCAGCATGTTATCCTATGTGTCCATACACACATAGACGGTAATTAATGTTTTTTAGCAGGGGAGTTTTTTGGCTGGAAAAAAAAAACAAGACTAGTGGGTTTCGAGAGGAGTTTTTTAGCTGGAAAAACGCACTAACACAGTAAAATGATGCAAACGAGCGTTTTTGGACTTTTTTGGACCAAAAAAAGGTCCAGAAATAGGATAACCCCCAGCATGTTATCCTAGGTGTCCATGCACACAGACTGTAATCCAAGTTTTTTTTTGGAAGGAACATTTTTTGGCTGGAAAAAAAAAACCCAGGACTAGTGGGTTTCTAGAGGAGTTTTTTAGCTGTAAAAACGCTCTAACGCTGAAAAACGCTGCAAATCGGCGTTTTTGGACCTTATTTGGACCCAAAAAACATCCAAACATAGGACAGAGGATAACCCCCCAGCATGTTATCCTATGTGTCCATACACACACAGACTGTAATCAACGTTTTTTTGGCTGGACAAAAAACCCAGGACTCGTACTTTGTTTTTTTAGCTGTAAAAACGCTCTAACTCTTAAAAATGGGGCAAAATGCGGTAAAATGCTGCATTTTTGGACCTTTTTTTGGCAAAAAAAATATTTTTTTGGGGTAAAGAAAACCTGCTAAAAACCGCAAATGCGGAAAAAAAAAAAAAAAACGCTGCTAAATGTGGCACAACGCAGGAAAACTCTAAAGCAAAACGCTAAAAAAAATAAAAAAATTAAAAACTCACATTTTTAACCTGACTTTACACTGCTAACGTTACCAGCGTTCTCAAAACACCCCGTGTGCGTGGAGACTTAGTATGCCAAGTGTGAACGAGGCCCTAGAAGGAAACCAGCACTAAAAGAAACCGGTTGCCTGTTCTGACTGATCTCCTTCCATGAACACTGACATCATGGGGTTTATTTACTAAAGCTGGAGAGTCCAAAATCAGACTCACTTCTGCATAGAAACCAATCAGCTTCCAGGTTTCATTGCCAAAGCTTCATTGAACAAGCTGAGGTTAGAAGCTGATTGGTTTCTATGCAGAAGGGAGTCTGATTTTGGACTCTCCAGCTTTAGTAAATAAACCCCCATTTGTCTACCATTAACATCCGAGCTGCCACACCAGACTGAGCATGTAGCAATCAGACTTATAACTCCCGATCTCCATATGTAAAAAATTAAAGCGGAACTTTAGTCAACAATGAAAAACGTATCATGAACCGCAGACGGTTTGATCCCTAGGCAGTGCGGTAAGCAAAGAAATGTACCTTTTAGCAGATAATCAGATTTACTGTCCTCACTTGGCAGCTTTACACATGCGTAGTTCTCTTCATGTCCCGGCACCAGAAGATTGCCGAGAATGAGAAGCTCTCACAGGTCAGCAGAGCAGGGAGAAGTTATCACGAGATCCTGGTCTGCTGACATCATTTCATGGATCTCTCAGGACCTCGGGACGGCTTGTGCAGTAGCTTTGGCCAGTGTAGGAGACAGAAAGCAGGAGCGCTACAGGTAAGACAAACAGAGGCACTGCAGCAAAGACATACAGAGGAGGCACAACAGCACGCAGCGGCAGTACAGAAGGGGCATGCAATGGGGCAGTGCTGAAGACACACAGCGGGGCAGTGCAAGAGAAAGAAGCAAAAAGGGACTGTATAGGGAAGACACGGATCAAGGGCAGTGCTCAAAAGATCTGGAACAAGGGAAAGTGTAGCAGTGTTTTCATATCACCTATTATATACAAATAGTGTGTGCTTGGGCATAAAACGAGACTGTGAATGTTCCACCTGCTCCTATATTAGAAAACATGGTGACTTCTAGGAAACTGTGGGCCTGGAAAAGGAATGTGTTCATGGACATATACAGCAGAACCTGAAAACACATTTTTACTAAAAATATTAAAAAAAAATAGCATTTTTATATTAAATATACTGTAGAAAAGAGCAGTATTGACTTAAGTTCCGCTTTAATTTAGCTACAAAAGATACGTAAAATAGCGTCCTTTACTAATAGAAAGAATGACATTCCTACCTGCAGGTGGCCAAGCTTTGATATATCCTGTGCAGTGCACAACCACAAACTGCGGCTCCCCGTCCTTGGGTGGGCCCAGACCGTTTCTTCAAAAGAAAATTAAAAAAAAAAAAAAAAAGAATAATAAGGCAACATTTTTACAACATGAGCGTCGAACAGTAAAAGTCGCTAAGGACCGTTACCTGCATCTGTTCCTCAAAAAACTCAGCCTGTTCATGGAGGCGGGGTCAACCGCAGTGTTTCCACACCTGAGAAGGTGAAACATTCACCAAAGTTTAGCAAAGATCTCAACTGAAAACAGAACCAGCATACAATAGAAAACCTCCTCACTACTGAGCATTGAGAGTTTCAGACTCTTAGGCCCCTTTCACGTGACCGTGTCGATCAGGTCCGCCCCAGGGGCGGATTGACCATTTGGAAAAAACGGGCACTGCCCGAGGGCCCGGGGTCAGTAGAGGGCCCCATGAGATGCCCCTGGTACCTTTTTCATAGGCTGTTTTGAGTTTGGACAAGGACACAGAGGGCCCCATGATCCCCTATTGCCCGGGGGCCCCATGAGTTGTCAGTCCGCCCCTGGGTCCGCCTGTCAGTTTTTCAGGTGGTTTGGAGGAAGAAGGGACCCCCCCTTTGAAAACGTGTCAGATTTACCCTGGGAGTGTTCCCTTTCGATGGGATTCACACGTGTCTCCTAATCCAGCGCTTCGATTTTGGATTCTATATGCCTTTTATATTGCTACTTTTGTGAGTATATTTCTTAAATCAATAAATTTACCAATTGCTAATTGAGGTGATGCGCAAGGTTGGTATGCTTTGTTTTTGTTTTTCACTGCAGTTTTTCAGGTGGACCTGATTGGACGCTCTATTCATCTCTATTGGCCGGCGGGTGTAAATGGGCTTGTGTCTGTTTTCACCCGCCTAACTCTGATCCGATCCGGTCCACTTAACACAAAATATAAGCAGATCGGAGGTAATTGGGAGTAAACGGACAGCTGATCCATTTACACCTGACCAGAGCGGGCTCAGTCCATGTCTCAGTAGACCGATCCCCTGCTAAGCAAAGTAGATCCGTCCTGTGTGAAAGGGGCCTAAAGTCTGACTTTAAAAAAGAAAACATTCGCCAGCTTTTGCAAAATATTTAGAGTAAGTAGCATATGATCACCTGAAACTAAATAGGAACTTTGACTTACCTGTAAAATTCCTCATCAGGGAAGGCCCCCTGCCAGCAAAATGCAATAGCACAGCGGGAGTGCTTCCCCCAACCACATCAAATGTGTGGATCGGAAATTCATTTTTGGTTTGTTCAACCCACTAGTTCAGTGATGGCGAACCTTTCTAGAGACCGAGTGCCCAAACTGCAACCCAAAACCCCCTTATTTATCGCAAAGTGCCAGCAGTGCAATTAAACCCGAATACTGAGGTTATAGTTTAGAGAAAACAACCCACACATTAACATCTTTTGTCTTAAAAGAAAAACACAACAAAAAGCTTCCACTGACCACCAGGACAAGGGGGAAAAGTTCCACTGACCAACTGGACAAGGGGGCAAAGTTCCACTGACCACCAGGACAAGGGGGCAAAGTTCCACTGACCACCAGGACGAGGGGGCAAAGCTCCACTGATCACCAGGACAAGGGGACAAAGTTCCACTGACCACCGGCACAAGGGGGGCAAAGTTCCACTGATCACCAGAACAAGAAGGCAAAGTTCCACTGATCACCAGGACAAGGGGACAAAGCTCCACTGATCACCAGGACAAGAAGGCAAAGTTCCCATGACCACCAGGACAAGAAGGCAAAGTTCTACTGATCACCAGGACAAGGGGGCAAAGTTCCACTGATCACCAGGACAAGGGGGCAAAGTTCCACTGACCACCGGCACAAGGGGGGCAAAGTCCCACTTATCACCAGGACAAGAAGGCTAAGTTCCACTGATCACCAGGACAAGGAGGCAAAGCTCCACTGATCACCAAGAAAAGGGGGCACCTCTACTCCACTCATTAATCTAACTTAGTAGCACCTGTCTGAGCTCTTTAAAGACACCTGTCCACCCCACAGTCAGTCAGAAGCCAACTACTACCATGGGCAAGACCAAAGAGCTGTCAAAAGACACCAGAGACAAAATTGTGGACCTCCAAAAGGCTGGAAAATAGATCAACTGTTGGAGCAATTATTAGAAAATGGAAGAAGCTAAAGACGACTGTCAGTCTCCCTCGGACTGGGGCTCCATGCAAGATCTCACCTCGTGGGGTATCACTGATGATAAGAAAGGTGAGGATTCAGCCCAGAACTACAAGGGAGGAGCTGGTCAATGACATGAAGAGAGCTGGGACCACAGTTTCAAAGGTCACTGTCGGTAGAACACTACGCCGTCATGGTTTCAAATCATGCATTGCACGGAAGGTTCCCCTGCTCAAGTCATCACATGTCCAGGCCCATCTGAAGTTTGCCAATGACCATCTGGATGATCCAGAGGAGGCATGGGAGAAAGTCATGTGGTCAGATGAGACCAAAGTAGAACATTTTGGTCTAAACTTCACTCGTCGTGTTTGGAGGAAAAAGAAGGATGAGTTGCATCCCAAGAACACCATCCCTACTGTGAAGCATGGGGGTGGTAATATCATGCTTTGGGGGTGCTTTTCTGTGAAGGGGACAGGGCGACTGCACTGTATTAAGAAGAGGATGAATGGGGTCATTTATTGTGAGATTTTGAGCAACAACCTCCTTCCCTCAGTCAGAGCATTGAAGATGGGTCGTGCCTGGGTCTTCCAACATGACAACGACCTGAAGCACACAGCCAGGATAACCAAGGAGTGGCTCCGTAAGAAGCATATCAAGGTTCTGGAGTGGCCTAGCCAGTCTCCAGACCTAAATCCAATAGAACCTCTTTGGAGGGAGCTGAAACTCCGTGTTGCTCAGCGACAGCCACGAAACCTGACAGATCTAGAGGAGATCTGTGTGGAGGAGGGGGCCAAAATCCCTGTGTGTGCAAACCTGGTCAGGAACTACAGGAAACGTCTGACCTCTGTAATTGCAAACAAAGGCTTCTGTACCAAATATTAACACTGATTTTCTCAGGTGTTCAAATACTTATGTTCAGCAGTGCAAGACAAATAAATTCTTTAAAAATCATACAATGTGATTTCCTGAATTTTGTTTTTTAAATTCTGTCTCTCAGAGTGGGAATGCAGCTACAATGTGAATTTCAGACCCCTCCATGATTTCTAAGTGGGAGAACTTATAAAAATCGCAGGGTGTTCAAATACTTCTGTTCCTCACTGTAAATAACAAATCTGGCTGAAACCCTGAGGAATACACGTATATATGTATTTTTACTGTCTATTTAGTCATTTGCCTGTTTCACTGCGACTATTAATATAGCTAATGCAGAAAACGAGAAAACCTTTACCTCATCCTACAGATAAACGACCTCCGGGAACCCATACACATCCTCATAGAGGACTGCTGGCCCTCTTTCTTCACTGTGCCGGTTTTCAAATCCAAAATGCGTCCTGCAAGTAAGACACCAATCGTGACACACACTGCCCAGGCAACAAGTCACACGTGGATCGGTTTATTAGCCCAATGGCCACTTACCTGTCATGGCATTCTCTGCTGTAGATAACTGTTCCCGCAGCTTGTCCGCGTCATCTGGATGGACCTGGTCATACAAGGAGCTCCCAAACCACTCGGTCTGAGGCTGATTGAGAACCGGAGTCACAGAATCAGACACGTAGACGATCCGGCCCGTCTCGCAGGATACCACAAATAGGAAACCATCCGCAGCTTCCAAGATAAGATGCTTCAACTCCTACAAAAGGATTAAAGAATAGGTAATCCCGACATTTCATATTCCTGATATGTGTCTACTGTACCATGTACTTCTATGGAAGAGTCTCCTGTTCTCTCTGTATTGCTTCCCTTGTGTCAGATCTCTGGTGCTCCTGCCAGTCCCTCTAGTTCCCTATTAAAAACTGACAACACTAGGCATGCAAGCACAGCACGGTTAGTATTCTGGCTGTGCAGGGTTCTCAGCCTGCTCTCCTCCAATGATCAGACTTTTGCTGACAGCCCACTCCTGGCTGCACAGCCATTTACTGGGAAGATCAGTGTGCTGCTGTTTCTCTTCCCCTAGCTCTCCGAGCATCTTATGCAGCTGAGAACAGAGGGAATGTGATCATTTAGTCCTCATGCACACTGGAGCCGTGTTTTGAGAACGCTGGTAATGTTAGATGTGTAAAGTCACGTTAAAAACGTGAGTTTTTCAGCTTTATTTAGAGTTTTTTCATTACCGTTTTCCCATGTTTTTTTTTTTCTTTGGTCAAAACAACATCCAACAACACTGGTTTGCGGCGTTTTACTGCGTTTTTCAGCGTTCGAGCATTTTTACAGCTAAAAACCTCCTCTAGAAAGCCACTAGTCCTGCTCTTTGTAGCCAAAAAACGTTGATTCCAGTCTATGTGTGTATGGACACCTAGAATAAGATGCTGGGAGGTTTACTGGCTGTAGAAAAAAAAACATCAAAAGCCAAAAACAGCCACTGTAAAAACATCCGTGTGCATGAGAACTTACCAAATACAAAAAATTGGGGCTGGGGGCGGGCGGTTTGACAAAAAACATCCAAAAATGCCAGTTTTCTGCGACTCACTGCGTTTTACCACGTTTTGCTGTGTTTTTCAGCGTTAGAGCGTTTTTACAGCTAAAAAACTCCTCTAGAAACCAGATATAGTGAATGCAGGGTCCGGGGAGAGCGGATATAGTGAATGCAGGGTCCGGGGAGAGCGGATATAGTGAATGCAGGGTCCGGGGAGAGCGGATATAGTGAATGCGGGGTCCGGGGAGACCGGATATAGTGAATGCGGGGTCCGGGGAGACCGGATATAGTGAATGCGGGGTCCAGGAGACCGGATATAGTGAATGCAGGGTCCGGGGAGAGCAGATATAGTGAATGTGGGGTCCGGGGAGACCGGATATAGTGAATGCGGGGTCCGGGGAGACCAGATATAGTGAATGCAGGGTCCGGGGAGAGCGGATATAGTGAATGCAGGGTCCGGGGAGAGCGGATATAGTGAATGCAGGGTCCGGGGAGAGCGGATATAGTGAATGCAGGGTCCGGGGAGATCGGATATAGTGAATGCAGGGTCCGGGGAGAGCGGATATAGTGAATGCAGGGTCCGGGGAGACCGGATATAGTGAATGCAGGGTCCGGGGAGAGCGGATATAGTGAATGCAGGGTCCGGGGAGAACGGATATAACGAATGCGGGGTACGGGGAGAGCGGATATAGTGAATGCAGGGTCCGGGGGAGAGTGGATATAGTGAATGCGGGGTCCTGGGAGATCGGATATAGTGAATGCAGGGTCTGGGGAGACCGGATATAGTGAATGCAGGGTCCTGGGAGACCGGATATAGTGAATGCAGGGTCTGGGGAGACCGGATATAGTGAATGCAGGGTCCTGGGAGACCGGATATAGTGAATGCAGGGTCCAGGGAGACCGGATATAGTGAATGCGGGGTCCTGGGAGACCAGATATAGTGAATGCAGGGGCCGGGGAGATTGGATATAGTGAATGCAGGGTCTGGGGAGATTGGATATAGTGAATGCGGGGTCCTGGGAGACCGGATATAGTGAATGCAGGGTCCGGGGAGACCGGATATAGTGAATGCGGGGTCCTGGGAGACCAGATATAGTGAATGCAGGGGCCGGGGAGATCGGATATAGTGAATGCAGGGCCTGGGGAGATTGGATATAGTGAATGCGGGGTCCTGGGAGAGCGGATATAGTGAATGCGGGGTCCTGGGAGACCAGATATAGTGAATGCAGGGTCCTGGGTTTAGGAACACTTTAAGCTCATTACCTATGACTGGGACAACTGAGCCCTCATCAGGGATTTTCTGACATTGCCAGAATTTTGTTGACCGACAATATTCTAACCTACTGATCCAGACATACATGGGTGATGTGGGTGTACATTATGAAGTCATCTAATCCTTATACACATCACCTGTGACCAGCTGGAAGCAGCAGGAATATATAATTCTATATAATATAATTAAAGGATTATATGATTCCAGCAGAATGGGAGAGAACACCTCCGGCCTCAACTGCACACTATGACCTCAAGGACTCAGTTGTTGGCAGCCTTGTCTTCAGGCGATGGAATCCAATAGTAAATGTATGGAGCACTATGTGAATGGAGTTTGTCTCTTATCATCATCGCATTCATGGAGGTTTATTTTTACTTGGGATGCACCGGAATTTCGGCCGCCAAAACACATCGGCCGAAAATAAAATTTAGCCAATACAGGTGCCAATACAGGGGACTGTATGTACAGCAAATGTAAAGGGGGGGGGGCGGGGAGCGACGGAGAAAGGCAGCAGAGGAGCAGTGTATTCAGTGACTGGCTGCCTAAATGTCAGTGCTGCTTTTTGAATGAATTTACCGTCTTTTTTTTTTTCGCTATAGCTCAAAAACCGAGCTGTCACTTTTCCCGAGCTAAAGGAAACAAAGGGGCGGATAATGTCACTGGGTGACCCCGCCCCTTTTGTTTCCTTTAGCCCTCCAAGAATGACAGCTCCTTCTCTGAGCTATAAAGAAGAAAAAAAACATTGCCGTTTTTTAAATGTAATTAGTTTTTTTTTTTTTTTTTTTAACTATAGCTCAGAGATGTCTTCAGGAAGCATGCAAAAAGACAAAGAGGGCGCACAGACCTAGTGCATTACCTAAAAAATTGGTTTATTGTACAAAATGTGAAATACTCACAAAAGAATAAAAGTCAAAAGGCACATCATAAGAAATACAGCAAGGTCCAACCTCCCTGGAAGGTGTCTGGTCGGGGACTAGAGCCCTCCAAATGGCTGGCACGTTTCGAGGCGAAGCCTCTTCCTCAGAGCCACTACCTTTCAGGAAGCACCCTGCCAACCCCCCGCACACACACACAATGACCCAATGCATTCCATAAACCAGTGGTCTCCAAATTGTGGCTTGGGGGGCTGGATGTGACTCTCTGCTAGCCTATATCTGATCCTTGGGGCACTACTCTACCAAATGACAACAATGGTGGGGCAGCAGTGACACCATCAATGGTGCGATTCTTCCCACTGATATCAACAATGGGGCCTTAATCCCCTAACTAAAACCAATGATGGGGCATTGTTTATGCCCACTGATGCCAGTGCATTTTTTACTCCAACTGGCCACAGTCCGACCCCCCCCTAAAGCTTGAAGGAAAGTAAACTGGCCCTTTGCTTAGAAAGCTTGGAGAGCCCTGGCATAGCAAGTCACAGGGACCCAGTAAGATTAGGTACTTAATGATAGAGCCTGTTGACGAGGGGTAAAAAGCAGGAAACGAGGACGGCAATATAGAAGCAGAACAAACCTCAGTTTTACTTTTCGGATGAGTAAAACCGCTGTAAAACTATTGGTGTTACATTGTGTTCTGCAGCCCCTGCTCCTGGCCATCACTAAAGAGCAAAGAAAGGAAAGAAAGGACAAATCAGCAGTCTCTCTCTCCCATCTGTTTCAGCTCCCTCTAGTGGTGGCCGGAAGGAGCTGCTGCAGGAAGAGAAAATGTAAAAAGACTCCAAGTTTTGAACTTTCCATGTCTGAAATTTCTCTGTATGAGCAAAACAGGTACCTTGCGCAACGTTATTATTTTTTTGTACAGATTGCAGAAATGAGAAAGAATAATGGATAAGTAATGTAGGTGCACGTATCCTTCAACCACTTCAATACTGGGCACTTATACCCCCTTCCTGTCCAGGCCAATTTTCAGCTTTCAGCGCTGTCGCACTGTGAATGACAATTGCGCGGTCATACAACACTGTACCAATATTACATTTTTATCTTTTTTCACACAAATAGAGCTTTCTTCTGGTGGTATTTAATCACCACTGAATTTTTTTTTTTTTTGCTAAATAAAACAAAAAAACACCTGAAACTTTGGAAAACAAATGTACTTTTCTTCGTTTCTGTTATAAAATTTTGCAAATAAATAAAATTTCTTCATAAATTCAGGTCAAAATGTATTCTGCTACATTTCTTCGGTGAAAATAATAATAATGAAATTTGTGTTTTATGGCACCTGAACCTGCGTTTTGCAATTGTAGTGTTTTGAGATCGCAGACAGAATTGCAGTGATCCTGCCATGATCCCAAAACACCCAGGTGTGAATGGAGACTTGGTCCCAATTCACACTGATGCAAATTTGATGCGGATCAGGTGCGAACTGAAAGACAAAAGATTTGCATGGCATCTGAATATACTGTACTTTTTTTTATTCTTGAAGGACGTTCAGTGGTGTGATTTTGATCCAGGTAAAAAAAGGGTCCTGTGCGAGTTTGGAGTCATGTGTTCCAGACTCGCACAGAGGCATTCTGTGGCTGGAAGACAGATTTGCACGGACGTGGCTGGAAGGCAGATTTGCACAGAAGTGGCTGGAAGGCAGATTTGCATAGAAGTGGCTGGAAGGCAGATTTGCACAGAAGTGGCTGGAAGGCAGATTTGCACGGAAGTGGCTGGAAGGCAGATTTGCACGGAAGTGGCTGGAAGGCAGATTTGCACGGACGTGGCTGGAAGGCAGATTTGCACGGAAGTAGCTGGAAGGCAGATTTGCACGGAAGTGGCTGCAAGGCAGATTTGCACAGAAGTGGCTGCAAGGCAGATTTGCACAGAAGTGGCTGGAAGGCAGATTTGCACAGAAGTGGCTGGAAGGCAGATTTGCAAGGAAGTGGCTGGAAGGCAGATTTGCAAGGAAGTGGCTGGAAGGCAGATTTGCAAGGAAGTGGCTGGAAGGCAGATTTGCAAGGAAGTGGCTGGAAGGCAGATTTGCAAGGAAGTGGCTGGAAGGCAGATTTGCACAGAAGTGTCTGGAAGGCAGATTTGCACAGAAGTGGCTGTGTGGCAGATTTGCACAGAAGTGGCTGTGTGGCAGATTTGCATGGAAGTGTCCAAAAGGCAGATTTGCATGGAAGTGTCTAAAAGGCAGATTTGCATCGAAGTGTCTAAAAGGCAGATTTGCATGGAAGTGGCTGGAAGGCAGATTTGCATGGAAGTGGCTGGAAGGCAGATTTGCATGGAAGTGGCTGGAAGGCAGATTTGCATGGAAGTGGCTGGAAGGCAGATTTGCATGGAAGTGGCTGGAAGGCAGTTTTGCAGAGAAGATAACAGAATGCATTTTTAGCACAAGAAGGCAGATTGAAATTCCTAGCAGTACTAAATTCGCATTGAACAAAAGGGTATTCACGATCACATCCCTAAATCATATCAGAGTCAGATCTGCACCACTGAACACCTACCTTTGGCAACTGTACCAAAAACTGGCAAGAAAATCGCATCAAGTAAACCCTGCCAGCAGCAGGCCTATATGTAAAAAAGAAAAAAAAAAAAAAAAAAAAAAAACACACTTGACTGATGCCCAGACATGCATGTCCCCCGCATCAGGCGATACAATTTCTGCATCCCTGTACACCCAAATTATTTTCAGTTTCATGTCTGACACAGTTGCTTGGCATAGAAGTCATTACACACCTGATCGGTCAAGAAGGACGGCTTATAGGAGCCATCAGTGGACGTGTTTCCGGTACCCCTCAGAGACTTCATATGAGACACTGCCATGCGTAAGATGGTGAGCTTGTCAGGCTTGCGAGCCAGGGCATTGCAGGTGGGCACCATGTCGGACAGTTCTGTGATGTACGCTGTCATTTTGTTTCTCCTCCTTCGCTCGATCTCGCTGTGATTCTCCCTACAGAGGAACAAAACGGAAGGTTACATGATACTTAGGAACTGAAGAATACAGGAGAAAAAGGACTGTTAGACTGCCCGTGTCTTCTGTGTTATGTGAGGACATCATGCCATCATGCCAACCATGCACTTCAGAGAGAGGAGAAAACAAGGACAAGAGTTATAGACCAAATTCTGCCTCTACCTAGTACTGGACCAGTATTGGTGGGTCCGGGATGCTGGGATGAGCGGATTATGACACATACAGAATATTGCAGTACTGTGCAAACAGCTTCATCATCAAGCTGGCTAGAGACGTGGACATCTCCCTTTGGCCATTTCCCCTATGTTGACCCAACTAGGGACGCACCAAAAATTTCGGTGGCCGAAACATTTCGGCTGTTGGCTGAAACATTTCGGCCGTTGGCTGAAACGAAAAAAAAAAAAAACAAAAAAAAACGGTACAGGTGCCGAAAAAACCCCGGCCCTCGCCAGCCGCCACCGCTCAGTAGTTCTCAGCCTTACCTGAGAAACCATCGATCCTGGCACTAGGCATAGAGATGAGTGAAGTAAAGATGCCCACCACTCATCTCTTTGCCCTTGAAGGACCAGAGCGATGTCACTTCCTGTTCCGGCCATTTTTTTTTTTTTAAAGCACTAGATCAATGCTTTTATTGTTCCAATGCTTCACATTGCAGAGGAGAGATGTGGGGTCCTATTGACCTCATATCGATCCATAAAGAGGACCTGTCACTAATTATTTCTACATTTCTATTAATTAATTATTTATACATTTCTTGTGATTGGAATAAAAGTGATTAACATTTTTTTTAAAGGGACAGTGCAAAAAAAAAAAAAATTATATAAATAACAAAAAAAAGTTTAAAGGCCCCCCCCCCCCCCGATGCTTGCACGCGGTGGTGAACGTGGACGCAGGCCATGCCCACATATGTAAACGGTGTTCAAACCACACACGTGAGGTATCGCCGCGAACGGTGAAGCAAGAGCAATAATTCTCGCACTAGACCTCCTCTGTAACTTTACACAGCTAACCTGTAGAAATTTTTAAAGCATCATCTATGGAGATTTTTAAGTACCGCAGTTTCACGCCATTCCAAGAGCGTGCGCAATTTTAAAGCGTGACATGTTGGGTATCTATTTACTCGCCATAACATACTCTTTCATATTCTACAAAAAAAATTGGGGGTATATATATATATATATTTTTTTTTTTTTATTTTTTTTTTTTTTAAATCAATGAATTTTTTTAAAAAATATATATATATATTCATTTTTAAAAACTGCGTATTTCGGTTTCAGTTTTCGGCCAAGTGCATTTTGAATTTTCAGTTTCAGCACCAGAAATTTCATTTTGGTGCACCACTAGACCAAACATTATTACATTTCCAAATGTGCGATGTTGAACATACAGTCCGGAATCTTTTGAACCTTGGATGTTTTAAGCTCAGCTCCAATTGGATAAACTGTGGAAGGGTTAGATATTCTGTCAACGTTTTATTACTGTTTCTGTCCCTACTTGGAAAATACAAAAAGAGGGGTTTCCGTTGTGCATATATGTGCCAACACATGTAAATATACTACTGCGTCTGCAAAGTAGAGTCCCTCTCGCCAAACTATTGGAGCGCCTAACCATGGTACATGTATAACAAAGCAAAAATTGAGAGCACGCTTACCTGGAGGCAACCCCTTCTTTCTTAAAAGTACAGCAACACATCAGAAGACCAACACCGCCCAAGGCAGCTGAAGAATCCCATTGTGTGCCCACTGGTGTGTTGTCGTACCTTTAAGCACTCCAAATATCGGCACATGTTAATGAACAGCAGAGGGGTGGACTATTATTTTCTTGTCTATAAATGGCAATGGAGGACTTGGGTGACCATTGCACTGGTTAATGGCTATACACCGAGTTCCCAGAAACAGTGTATGGAGATGATCTGACTGGCTCTGTACCGTGTGACTGTTGTAATCACCAATCATAGTGATCACCAGTGCAAACGCTACTGTTTACATTGTTGATTCCTCTCCTTCCTCTTACAATGAAGGAAGGAGAGGAAATAGTATTAATCCATGAATGGGAAATGAATGAATAGGTCAGCATCTTGCAGGATGTTCACCAACTGTGGGATCTTTTTTTTTTTTTTTTTTTTTAACCCTTACACCCCCCTCCTTCCCTACACATCTGACCTTCAGCCTGTTTCTTTAGAAGACCTGTATATTAACCCCTCATCTCCCTTACCCTGCACATCAACCCTCTCATCTCCATCCTCCCACTATAAGTAGCCCATACTTTACCCCCTTCACTTCCTCCTCCCTCTGATCTATATGTATGGTCTACACACTAAATTTATTTAACTTTCATTTATTTATTTTTTTTCTTAGGAGCCTGCAGAGCATCACAGGGGCAATTTCAGGCTCCTGCAGACTCTCAGCATAGCTGTCTGCTCGTACCTCCTATGGGCAGGCAGTTACCTAAGAGCAGGAAGAATCAATGAACTACTAAAGTGCTCTCCAGCGCCCTTGCAGTTTACTGAGATCTACAAACTGTCAGCAGCAATGGCTGATGGTACTTGTAGGTAGTCATTCACAGGAAAGTGTGAATAAATGATGCAGCCACGTGGGAGGAGACCGGCACGACAGCGCTGTTTTCAAAGTGTGACAGCGTGTGCAAGGAGGGGATCCACCACCCGCTGTCAAAGGCGGGGAGGGGGGGAGGCCGCAGATACTGGAACATGTTCCATAGGTGAACTGAGCCTTTAAAGAGAAGAGGACTGCCTCCAGGTAAGCCTGCTCTCAATGTATGATTTGTTGTGCAATATATGTATGTATGTATTGCAATGTATGTTCCATAGTTGATAACTCCAGTGAAAAGAAGACTAGAGTTCCATCTGCTGGCTGGACAGCCTTGTCACTGTAATGAGTAAATTCAGTCTCAGAAATCTCCATTCAATCTCAGAAGGGGATCCTAGACTGCTGAGTCGGATCAGAATGGACATGGAGGTCACATACGTGACTTCTATGTCCCTTTCAAATTTTTTCTTCATCTATTAATGGGAAGGAAAAAGGTACCCACGTAATCAGTTGGGGTGGCCAGATGTAAGTGCCTATTATCTGGTCACATCTGGTCAAGTCAGTAGAAGTAGACCTGAATGCAAACTTTTTCTGTTCAGCCCAGCAAACTTGAATGGACCCAGATGTGGATGCGCATAGGCAGAAGAACGACTGTTTACATCCAGCCACCCATAGGGATACATTAGTCTGATAAGGACATATAGAAGGGACCAAAAATAATCAAAACCAATATACACTTCCTTTAAATCACTGTTTCCAGGCATAATTTGTAGTTATACAAGTATATGGAGCAGCCATTCCTGCTCATCAACCAGCTGAGTAGTGCTGCACAGCAATTGTGCCTTATCGTTTCGCTCTCAATGCAAGTCTGCATTCTGACGCCATGCAAGTTGGTTGTGACAGAATGAAAATAATGCACTGCATGTCAGGTCTACATACATCCCAGTGTATAATAGAAGCTGTTTTCCTTCAGCCTCCCTGTCTGATTAAAACATAAGCAGTGTAGTGGAAAAGTCATGGCACTGGCTTGTTTTCTTGGGTGAGGAATTTTCAGTTTGTGTTATTGAGCTCTGTAAACAGGCTTTTCTTTGTTATATTTCAATCTTTTTATTCAAATTTTAGGAATAAAAAAAAATTCTCTCAGTGGGTAGAAAAGTATCAACTTACAGGCAACTTGGATAAGCTGGAGGATACAGTGTCCATGGCTTCAAAAGCAATGTCAAATTTCATTTCCTCTGACTACAGAACAGTTTTCCACTTTGCAACAGACCATTTTAAATAGAGTTTGGCCCAGAAAACAAAGCTGCGTTTCTGGATCATGTTTTTAGTTATGGCTTCTTCTTTGCATGATTGAGCTTTACCTTGCATTTTTGGATGGCACTGCGAACTGTATTCACAGACCGTGATTTTTGAAAGTACTCCTGAGCCCATGCAGTGATGTCCATCACAGAATCATGCCTGTTTTCAAGGCAGTGCCAACTGAGGGCCCGAAGATCACAGGCATCCAATATTGCGTTTTGGCCCTATCCCTTCCCCGCAGAGATTTCTCCAGATTCTCAATGTTTTGAAGATATTATGTACTGTAGATGACATATATTTTAAGTCTTTGCAATTTTTACATTGAGGAAAATTATTTTGAAATTGTTTGACAATATTTACGTGTAACATTTCACAGATTGGTGAAGCTCTGCTTATGTTTACTTCTGAAACACTCTGACTTTCTAAGATGCTCTTTATATAACCTATCATGTTCCTGACCTGTTGCCAATGAACCTACTTAGTCGTAAAATGTTCCTTCAGTTCTTCCTGGTTAAGACCACTTACTTTGCCAGCTTTTATTGCCCTCTCCCAACTTTTTTATTAAAAAATGTTTGTATTAAAAGAGGTATAGACTCCAGAGAGAGAGAAATATCATATTACCCCGGTACAAATCATTAGTAATACCTCATCTGGAATATGCAGTTCAGTTTTGGGCACCAATTCACAAAAAGAACATTGGGGAACTGGAGGAAGTGCAGAGAAGGGCAACCAAACTGATAAGAGGCATGGAGGAGATCAGCTAAGAGGAAAGATTAGAGGAACTGAATTTATTCTCTCTTGAGAAGAGAAGATTAAGGGGGGATATGATCACCATGTATAATACATAAGGGGGGATATGATCACCATGTATAATACATAAGGGGGATATGATCTCCATGTATAATACATAAGGGGGGATATGATCTCCATGTATAATACATAAGGGGGGATATGATCTCCATGTATAATACATAAGGGGGGATATGATCTCCATGTACAATACATACGGGGGGATATGATCGCCATGTATAATACAAAAGGGGGGGGGATATGATCGCCATGTATAATACATAAGGGGGGGGGGATATGATCTCCATGTATAATACATAAGGGGGATATGATCTCCATGTATAA